TTTATCAGATTAAATCTAAAAAATCTGAAAAAAATATATGTTAAAATATGTGATATTATCTTTATTTTAATGTAAAATTAAAAACTTTTATATAAAGAGAAAAACTCGTATTTTTCATATTTTTACTATGTTTTATTAATAAATTTGTTTTAGCATTCTATTCTTTTTAATTGCTACTGTATATATATATATATATATTAATATACTTGTATAGTACAAACTTATAAAATTATATATTTATAAAAAATATTTTTTTAAAATAAAAATTTTTTAAATTTAAAGAGTTTTATTTTATTAAAAAATAATAAATAATTAAATTAAAATATACATTATTTAGTTTTAAAAAAAATAGTTTTACTTTTTTTTGGTATATTTATATTTTTGTATCAAATCATAATATTTTAAAAATACAAAAAATTATTTTAGACAAATTTGTCTGAAAATAATCTATAAATTAAGAGATAACAATTTAAACAAATTATATTATTTATTTAAATATAATCTGATAAAGTATTATTGGCTTGATCTTTAACAATAACATTTTTAATTATCTTTTTTCATCAGTTTGACTCTTTGATATATTGTAATTATGTGCAGGTCAGTAAAAGTAATTAATGATAACATGTTTAAATACTTCTGTATTTGGATTATTTTGAGATTATTTTGCGTAAAGTATGTTAATGTTTTTTTTCGTAACTAGAAACAATAATTTTCGCGACTGATGCTGAAATCTGGCTGATACTGAAATTAAAAATAAAAATTGATCAGCCAATAAGATGCGTTAATTTCAGGTTTCAGCTTCAGCCGCCACAATAATTATTTTAATAATGTGATGTTTTAGTATTCCCGTAAATTAAGTATCCAAATAATTGATTCAGATCAGCCAATCACATAGAAGTTCCAGAAGATTGAAACAGAGTCACGTGATTGTCGAGTTATGATTTTTCTCTTGATTTTGAACTAAATTATTGGCCAATTTCAGCATTTTTTTCATTTCTTCTCTTCTTTAACCTATTGCTGTGAACAAATTTTAGGTGAATTCTGTTATCGTCACTTAACCAGTAAGCGCCATTCTTCTTTTTTAGCATTTATATACACTAGATGGTATATACTGAACAATTGGTAGCGAATATCAGATTAACATCTCCAAGACTTCGGCAAGACAGGCAATCAGAATAATTGTTGGATTATTAAAAGATCAGTTGAGTGTGAATAATTCTCCGGAAAATTGAACGGTCATTTAGAGAGGTAATCCCACTGGCATTTAATTATGAAAAATAAGATAATAAAGAATTACAAAATCATTTGACTGAAAAACTAATCGGCAGTGTAATTATGAAAAAGGCGGAGAAAAAAGACTGATTAGCTAGTAAGTTAATCTGTTTAGAGTGTGAAAAGGGTTGGAAAAGACAGTAATCAGTGATTATTAGCTAAAGAAGCGAAGGAAACATTTGAATTATTTCCGAGAAAAGGAAAAGAATATAAGTGAAAAACCCCGCACGCCTTAATATGATACAGATAATTCTAGCTATACTTATTGCGAGACCTGCGAAAAGCAAGTATCAGGAACAGGAGAGCATGGAGTAATTAAGAACCATGATTTTGAGGATTAGAGATATAAATTACTTAAAGAATTAATGCCAGTCAGTAAGAGATATGTGTTGAATAAGTTTGTGAAAAGATATGACAGTGAAGATAAAAATAATGTTTAGAAGATAAAAAGTGAAGTGTCGAAAAAAATTAATCATTATTTTTTTCCTCCTTATAGCAGTCTTTGATATGATTATATAATTTCTGAACTTCCTGATATTTTTCGTTGGTTGCTTTATTTAGGGTTTCGCGATACTCTTTTTGTTCATATTCTACTAATTCATTAGCTTTACTTGTGCCATAATTATAAGCATGAGAAAAGACAGGCACGAAATTTATCGCTTGACCCCAACCAAATTGCGATGATGCTCGATTTTCCCGTTGTGAAGTTTGCCTTTCTACTGCTGATTCATACTCTCTTCTTTTAACATCGTATTCCTCAAACTTATCCAAAAGCTTATCTATGTCAACCAACGCTTGCCCTTTTAATCTAATAATTTCCTCTTGAGCTTGGCGAAGTTGCTCTTTTGACTGACGAAGTTCTTCTTGAAGTTGTTCCTCTCTGTCTTTCATATTTTTTAATTTACTTGGGAACTTTATCCTCAATGATTGTGACAGATTAAATGAAATCAGTTTGGGACCCTTTTTATCACGTGAACTCGTATGATCACCTTAGGTGTGCATTTTAATTGGTCGCCAGCTAGTAATTGTAAACGCATCACAAAAAACCTTTTTATAATTTAATAGTTCCCAACGAAAGTAATAGCGAACGTGTTTTTTGCCTATACCTTAATGAGGAAATTTCTTAATATAACAAAGCACATTAGTATAATAATATTTTGCAGAATTTTGTCTCAAATGTGATGAATTAAAATTTTTAACACTTAAATAGGAATAAAAAATTATTAAAAAATATTTTAATAAGCAATTTTGAAAAGAATATTTGTAATTTAAAAAGTTTTTTTTATTTAATAATATGATCCAGTGCAAAAAGATTTGTACCTCAAAATAAAAATTAATAATTACTTCTAATAAAAGTCATTCAGAATTTAACTAATTTCTATAATTTTTTATATTAAATAAAGAATAATCTAAACTAACTATTTATATTATTTATATTATTCTTTTGTACTTTTATTCAAGAATAAATAATATAATACTTTTCTAAAAAAACAAAATAAAAAATTATTTTATTTTAAAAAATATATTTTAAACATTACTTTTATCAATTTGCTATATTAAAACTTCAACTTATGCAAGCATATTGCTATAGATTTGATAAAAATATATTTTAAATTTTATAAAGATTGAATTAATAGTTATTGCAAAATTAAGTCTTAAAGTTTAACAATTAAATTATTTACTATATATGTTTAATAATATTATAGTATATTTTATTTATCATATTTTTATTGAACAATTAATTTATTGATTATAATTTATCTATATTATTATTAGACTATATAGTTTATTATTTGTTTATGTATTATACATCAATGTAACGAATATATTGAACTTTTGATATCTTGAACTTTTGATCATTAGAAATTTTGATTATTTAAATTATTAATCTTTAAGATATTGAATTTTTAATATTTTGAGCTATTGATCTGTTAAACTATAAAATTTTTATTAGTTTAATATTATAGATATTTAGAGATTTTTATAATAATCAGTTTTATATATAAGTAGCATTTCACTTGAAAACAAAATAATAAGTTTATAATAAGATTTGAATTTAAATCTTAACAAGTTAATTATCTTAATAATTTCTCTTTAATTTTTATTATAAACTTAAAATAGTCTAGTAATATTATTATTCTTGTATTATATACTTATATAATCTATTTGCAGAGTGCTGACTGAGACAAGAATAGTGAAAAATATAGTAATAAAGAAATCTTATTAATAAAAATTATCTTAATTCTATAATTCTTACATATATTTCTTAATTATAAACTTAACTTGATTTATAATTCTTCTTATAACTGTAAAAAAATCTTTTATTATATAAATACTATTAAAATAACTAAAATAACAGTTGGTATCTTCTATTAGAAATTAAATTATACTTCTTTTTTATAAATTATATTTATATTTTCTTTAAAATAATTATTAATATATACTTATATTTATGTTAATAATTCTCTTATAATACAATTATAAAATATTCAACAATTAACTGTTATTATTCAACAATTTAATCAGTTAATAATCAATCTTTCAAGCCAACAAATCAACAAAGCCAATATAGTCAACCAAGAAGAAACTTTCAAAATAATTATCAACAATAAAGATCACAACAAAATAAATAATATCAATAATTAGCTAATTTAATATGTTATACTTGTGAATAATTAGATCATATTAAAATAGACTGTTCAATTAGCAATAATAATAATCTAAATAATAATAATAATAATTTCAATACCAATAGACAAGTACCAGTTATTAATAATATATCAAATTAATAACTAATAAATAATCAAATAACTGATTAGACTAAAATTCTTTAATAATTATTCAATTAATTAGTTATTAGTCAACAACAAGAACAATCAAAAAAACTAATTGGTATATTTTCTGAAAGTAAAAATAAGCAATTATCATTAAATTTCTCATACTTGAATATTTATTTCATCAGGAAATTTTTTGGGGTGATATGTATCGATATTTATTATTAGTTATATATTGATATATATCTGAGTCATTGATGCATATCAAAATAGATATTTAATATATGGGGGTGAGTCAACAGAAATCAAGCAAATTATATATGTATTACATATATAATTTGCTTGATTTCTGTTGACTCACCCCTATATATTATTGTATAATGACTTTTCATCATAATATTTTATTATTGGATTATAAATATCTCATATATTATTAGATAAAGATTATATCACATGAAATGAGTGAACAAGTGAACAAACAAGCAAATGAGCGAACGAACAAATAACTAAGCGAACGAGCGAATGAATATTGGACCAATAGAATTTAAGTGATATAGTGAATATGAATTCGAATAGCCTAGAAATTATATTTTGGATTTGTATAAAAGCAACATGTATCGTAGTTGTTAGAATTAGATATGAACAAGTC